AGACAAGGAGGCTCGAGTAGCCACCGGAACGGAACAGAAATGCTGGATTTTAACTCCACTGAACGAAGATTTGGGAATTGGAGATATGGGTTTTGTGAGGAAAGTAACTGTTGTTGGAGAAAGAATTGAGAGGCTCTGCATCTTGGGGTGCTTCGCTTATGCCCACCACTCTAGCTTGGTTCCGTTACCTGCCCTTTGTTCTGTAATGTAGATAAGGCTATCGCCTCCGGCAGTCGCTCGCTCCCCGCTTTCTGAAGTTGAAGGAGTTCAGTCTTTACTTTTTAGTGTACCAAAAAAAAAAAAAACAAAGTTCAATTTTAGCAATTGGCCCCTATAGTTTTGAGAAATGTCTCTGAGTTAAATGCCATTTTAGTCCCTGAACTTTTAACTTTGAATATTTTTAAACTTTGAACTAATTTTTGCACCATTTTCATCCCTAAAGGACGAAAAATGCACTTTATTGGTTATTTGACTAGGGTTATGTTTGGTAGTTATGTTTAGTACAGTCAATGAGAAGTCCTTTTAGATTTTAAAAGTTCTAAATGTATCTAATATTACAATTTGTGAAAAATATTATGATTTCTTAAAAGTTAATATTTTGTTTATTTTATTGTAAATATCAAAAGTACCGAATTGGTACTTTTACAAAAGTTTTTTATTTGAGTTTTAATGAAATTAACACATTATTCTTATTTTTTTTATTTACAAAAATAACATTTTTATAACAATTTTTTTTCAATAAAACTTCTATTAAAAGTTCCAATTACATCAAACAAGCACTAAATAGTCTATTAAATCTATATATATATATTAGTTTATAAACTTATAAATTTAAGAATTAAAAATGTATACATATTATAAATTTAAAAAATTACTCTCATAATTAAGGGCTTCTCATTTAACATATAGTAGGAATAGCTATTATTTAAAACACAAAAAAATCATATCAAACTATATAATAAAAACACTAGTTTCACCTGTGAATTTAATAAAATATTCATAATTTTTATATTATTTTATTAATACTATTTCAATCATTTTAATATATAATTTTATTATATAATTTGAGATAAAAAATGATGCCCATTGTTTCAGCACTTGGTGGCCCAATGGTCACCTTCTTGCGGGACGTGCTTAAGACTAGAGAATTTGGGATCAAATCCCAAGTCCTCCTCCCCCTTTTCCAAATAAATTTCACACTGTTTAAAAAAAAAAAAATGATGCCCATTTATTTTATATATATTTTTTAGGTACAAAGGGCAGCGCACAATCTCTATTATATTTTGTAGTTAAGCACAGTTCGGATACAAAAACAGAAAGTGAAACAAACCTTAATGCTGTTTGTTTATGAGATCAGGCAATAAACAGACCTAAATTTATTACAGCTCACATTGAAACCCCTGAAACACACTGGATATTCATTTTTACAGCTTGGTGTCACGTGACCAGAGTGGCTGAAGGACTGCGATTCATTTTACAGCTTTGTATCACGTGACCGGATTGGAAAACAAAGTAGGACACAAGAATCCGGGGCGGCAACGGCAAGTATTAAGTTTTATTTTTTTCATTTTTCATTCCCATATTTTCTCTCCTTCTCCTCGTCCACAGCAAAACCAATATCAAACCCTCACGAATTTTCCTTCTTACACTTTTCCACTTCCTAAAAAAAACAAAATTTAAAGTTAAAATTAAAAAGGGTCTTCTTCTCCTACGGACAAACCCTAAACAGCCCACACTGACGGTGGCGGCGGTGACGAGGGCTCGTTGTTCGTTAATGGAAATAGAATCCCTGAGTTGAATCCGACCCAGAAAGATCAGATTCATAGTGGTGCAGGGGAATTCGTAAATGGGTGCTGCCGGTTCCAAACTCGAGAAAGCACTAGGCGACCAGTTCCCTGAAGGCGAGAGATATTTCGGTCTTGAGAATTTCGGCAACACCTGTTACTGTAACAGTGTTTTGCAGGTTTTTTTTTTTTTTTGTTTTTGTTTTTCCCCTAATAGATGCATTTCAATCTAATTTGGATTTTGTTTGTGGATTTTTGAATCCAATTCTGGTGATTTTTTTTTTCTTGCTATTTGTGGTGGTTGCTTTTTTTTTTGGTTTTTAGCTACTAATTAACTTAGATATAGAGGAAGTCTGGCAATTTGTGATTCTTTCATGCTTTTTTAATTGATTGAATCTGAATTTGGTTGTGGAATGGTGAGATGTGAATGAATTCTGACTTTTAAGGCAATTTACAAAATGATTTTCTATACCTTTCTCTTTTGGATTGGAGTTGGAGGGTAGAAGGAAGGAGCCTGTGTAGTTTGAGGGTGGTTAATTGATTTTAAGGTTGTTCAGGTAATCTAGAGATGCAATTCATTGGTTATCCCTTACCCAATTCTGATTTTAAGCATGTACCTTATATTTTTTAGTTTGAACTTAGTTCCAACAAGGATTAAGAGATTCTCTTGAAGTTGTATTTGATTATTTAAGAATTGTATTTTGGTTTGATTAATTCTTGCTATGGTTTAAGTATTGATTTGCTGCAGATGGATTTTGAAGTTTTGAGGAGTAATAAGTGTGCAATAGAGATATTTAAATTTTCATTAGGCTTTTCCTTATGAATACTAACACTGCTTGTTCTTTTTTTTAAGGATGTGTTTGATTCATATGATTTATGCTTGCAGTTTATTTACTCCTTTTTTGTTGAATTATATTTATCAAATGGTTGTCTATGTGATTCTTCTTACAGTTGAATCCATAACTTTAAGATTTCGCTAATGGCCAATTGTTTGACTTTGTTTTTTCCATGTTTGCAATATCATTAATTTTTATCTACTGCACTACAGCTTTAACAAAATGTATCTGCTTTGGGTATCTAAGATCTCTTCTATGTTCATACTTGTATTTCATTCTTTTTTTCTAGGAAAAATTACAGGAAATGTTCATTAAATGCATGTAACTCTTGTTTATAAGTTATATGGTATCCCAAGAGAGATGTGAAAATCCAGATTGTTTTAGGTTAACTTGTCAGGAGATGAAGTATTCTCATATAATGTTGGAAAACTATTCCTTATTTCTTTCCCATTGATTTCTTATTTCTTGTTTATTGCTTTTTCTGGTGCAGGCACTTTACTTTTGCGTTCCATTTCGTGAACAGCTGCTAGAATATTATGCTAATAATAAAAATATAGCAGATGCTGCTGAAGAAAATCTATTGACATGCTTGGCAGATTTATTTACACAGGTAATGACTCCAGTGTAGAACTTCTGCAAATGAGTTGTTCGTTTTGTATTATCTTTTATGAGCAAAAAGTCCTCACTTAGAATTGATATTCTCTGGGGGTATTTAAGTTCTTGTACTTGTTTATGTTGCTGTGAATCTGCAAATATATTTATTTGAACAAATCAACTTTTTTAATGATATTAAGCTCAAATATTCACATCAGTTTCTGTCAAGATCTGATGGACAGCACACTTCTTTTGCCTTTTCTGATTTTTTTTCTTTAATTAATAGTTGTGCATGGAGCTTATGTGCAGCTAGCAATACTGGCTAACTAGTTAGAAGTATGGCAGCTGAAGATATCATTCTGTTGATGTGATCAATGGTTCACCATATAACTTTCAACATGATGCCACCATCTATTTAACATTTGTGTATGGTTACTCAGAGGTTATGATTATTGAGTTCATTTATGGGTTTGGTACAAGAACTTGCTATAATTCTGTTCTAGATAAACCATTATCAGTTGAATTCCATCAAATTTGACGTGGGACATCTGGTCCATGTTATACTTTGTGTTTCTCACTCCTTGTTCTTCCAACAAGCGGTGGCAGCCCTAAGGTCCCTGCTTATCCTCTTTTCCCCTTGTTATTTTAAAGTTCATCATATTATTCTCGTTCTATTCTTAGAGAATTCAGCTTAAAGTATTACATTTTGTGGGAGATGCAGAAGCTTGGATCCGAACAAAGTGTCGCCTTTTGAAGTCTGTTGTTCCCTTTTCCCTCTTACACTCCTTAATTTCAACCTTAGTTGCAAGAACTTTATTCTCTCTTCGCTTTTTCAACGCTTATTATGTTGCCTCAATGATATATTATATCCTCACTCTCTCATCCCCACAATTTTATTGGATAACATGTATGAATTTTTACTTGTTAATTTCACAATGGTGCTGGACCCAACTGTTGATTATTCCTTTGTGCAGATAAGTTCACAGAAGAAGAAAACAGGTGTCATTGCTCCAAAGCGCTTTGTACAGAGACTGAAGAAACAAAATGAGCTTTTCCGAAGTTATATGCACCAGGTAGTAAAGTGCCCTTTTCATATTCTCTTTTACCAAATTTATGAATGTCCCATCTTTGCAACTTTACTGAATCCTTAACTTTTGAATAATTAAGTGATGCAGTTTCAATGACCTAATGAGCAAAATATTTGATTTTCTTTACAAAAGAATTGCAAGGAAAAAAAAATACTTATATCTTATTTCTTTGCTAGGATGCACATGAATTCTTGAACTTTTTGCTAAATGAACTTGTTGACATACTGGAGAAAGAGGCTCAAGCAGCAAAAGCTGATGTGGCAGAGCCCTCATCACCATCTGAAAAGACTGCAAATGGGCCAAAGAATCCTCAGGCAAATGGTGTTGCAAATGGTGTTCAGAAGGAGCCTCTCGTTACTTGGGTGCATAAAAATTTTCAGGTGACTTGGCTTGAATAACTCCTGTTTGGTTTAACTGCTTGTGCTCCGTATTTGCTATGGAGTCTCTCTATTTTAAAGACCTGGACATAACCAAAATGTTGAGAGTTTATGTCTTTATTAAATGCCATGAGAACACATTAGCATAAAAAACTGCACCCAATCCATGCATTAATGCACAGATTTTGATATGATTATTAAGCCCTTCTGTGGATCCTTAACAAGCATTCTACTCTAGTACTTCCGGGATTTCAGTTGCTGCATTATTTGTGAATTGGTGTATGATAGGCCATGGCCTTCCTTTTGACCTTTTGCCTTTCACTTATTGACAACATGAATACATGATTGCTGCCCACGTTTCTCCATCTTTTTCTCAATAGGAGAGAATGTTATACTACTCATATATTTTGCCATGTTGAGTGGCAAGCAATGTGACTCCCCAGTGAATTCCTAAATACTAGTGAGTGCATAGACCCTCCCTCTCCTTTTTGTAGCATGTCTACATGCAAGTACTTAATATTTTTCTTACTTTTTCAGTATGAGCCTCACCATTTGATATTACTTTTGAGTCAGGGAATACTTACCAATGAGACAAGGTGCTTGCGGTGTGAAACTGTGACAGCAAGAGATGAAACTTTCTTTGACTTGAGTCTTGACATTGAGCAAAACAGTTCTATAACTAGTTGTCTGAAGAATTTTAGTTCTACAGAGACTCTGAATGCTGAGGACAAATTTTTCTGTGACAAATGCTGCAGGTAGTTGCTTTGTTATCTGTTACTCTGCATTGATTAGTGTCGACATATCTTCTGCATGTAAAGTTTAGTGCTATCACCTACAATTCTGCCTTGCTTAATTATCAATCTTTGTTTGATATTATTATCATTCATAAAATGCCAACATGGCAGCCTGAGTATCTGGATTTTTTTTCCCCCATACGAGAAGATCAAAAGGTTCAACTGTTTATTGAATTTACTCTAATAACCAACTAGTAACTGCTCTTTTTATTTGCAGTTTGCAAGAAGCCCAGAAGATGATGAAGATAAAGAAGTCTCCTCATATCCTGGTCACCCACCTTAAGCGTTTCAAGTACATTGAGCAGCTTGGCCGGTACAAGAAGCTCTCTTACCGTGTTGTGTTCCCGCTAGAGCTGAAACTGAGCAACACAGTTGAAGATGTGGATTCTGAGTATTCCTTATTTGCTGTAGTTGTCCACGTTGGGAGTGGACCCAATCACGGGCACTATGTCAGCCTTGTGAAAAGCCATAACCACTGGTTATTTTTTGATGATGAAAATGTGGAGATGATCGATGAGTCTGCTGTGCAAACATTTTTTGGGTCAGCCCAGGAGTACACGAGTAATACAGATCACGGGTACATCTTGTTCTATGAAAAAAGCCTTGGTGCAGGCAACAAAAGCTGAGAAGATCTGTTGTTTTACAGATAGTAGGTACTATTATCACTCGGACTCATTTTTCTTTTGTTTATTTTTATAAGTTTTTTTTTTTCCCCTTTTTTGTTTCACTTTCCAACCTCTCTGGAGGAGCTCATGGATATCAGTGAGGTGACATGGGTTGTTAAACATTGTATACTTAGGTTGTTGCATGTACAGTGGATGAAGCACACCTTTGTTTTTTTTTTTTTTTTCACAATAAGAGGGAAAAAAGAGCAGTGTATATGCTATGAGAAGATCACAGAGTTTGTATTCACGCTTGAGAATGTTTTTAACATTTAGCAATACTAACGGAATTCAATCGCAACCCTGCACCTTGCTTACGTTGTGATTTATGACATGGTATTTTATTAGTTTGTCAATTCCAAGATTTGACTCCCCAAAATCCCATAGGGCCATTGGCTTTCTTCGACAACGGAGGAAGGAATAGAAGAATCAAATGGCAATCCTGATTTGCAGTACTATAAAACACTACTTATTTAATGAAAACCCCCCTCATCATCAACCCTCACTAACAAGTTATTTGTGTTTTGCAATCCATGATGGCAAACGCTTGTTTGTAATTGAAGTTATTATTGGTTATTCATCTCCTGTGCCAGAAAATGACATTTTAGGAGAAAAAAAAGAGAGAGAGAACCAATACATCATATTAAAGAAATTATTGTAAAAAAAAAAGACATTAACTTGCATTTATCAATATTAATAAGTTAATGAAGCAATCTGCCTTCAACTTCTAATTAGCACTACTGGATATCTATAAATTAATCATGCAGCACCAAGACCAAAACAAACTTAGGTTATACTGCTGCTACCCATTCGGCTCTAGGTGTACTGGATCATTACAACAATTAGTTTGTTAATAACATTTACAGATAAATTAGATTATGACTAACCAACAGAGCAACTATTAGCCAAGCCACTGAAGATTTACAAGAACAAGAGAATGAACCAAGAGATGCATTCAAGTTGCTGTGGACATGAAATTGTCGTCATCCAATAATGCTTCAAAATCTATGAGATCTTCATCAATATCACTTGGACCTGGGGTATTGACCTGCACAATCAGTTAAAAGAAACAAGTTAATACGACTTGCACAAAAAATCTATATTTCAATATGCCTGGAATGCTCCATTCTTTTAGGTAGAGAATGCGCTCCTGATGTCA